GCGGCGGTCCCGGGCCGCCCCGGGGTTTCCCCCGTCCCCCCCGCCGCGCCGTGCAGAAGCGCGGGGCTCCTTAGCACGTCGCGTGCGCCAGGATCGCAGCGGCGAGCTGCGCGTCCCTCGCTTCCATTACAGCCGGCCGCATTTTGGAAAGGAAGACCTCTGTGCTCTGGTGGCGCAACGATAAAAGCCACAGCAATTTGTAGAATAAATATTTAAAGAACGTGATGCTCAGAGGCAATGGATGCTATGCAGAAGGTCTGTGGAACCCTCACGGCGGGGTTTTAACGAAGCCCAAGGAGTTTCTTGGTGAGCGCTTTTGAGCGCTTTTGGCTTTGTTGCAGGGCACAGCCACCAAGTTTTCCACGTGTGCGGGATCATCAGCACGCACTTCCAGATGGAAGCCATCATGATGGACATGGCCGAGCGCCGCGACCGGCTCCGGCCCACCTCGCTGCTTCCCTCCTCCCTGCAGACGCTCGGGTCGATGGGCGTCTGCATGGCCGTGAGCCTGGCCGTCATCGGGCTCTGCTCGATGTCCCTGCGCTTCACACCAGAGCCTCTGCAGAGAGAAAAACCACACGGGCGTTAGGCTTCGGGTCCAGATTGTATTTATGCTGCTCCGCGGGACAGACCCTAAACAATACGTGTATGGTATGGATGAGGAGGAGTTCATTCGCCTACGCTCTCTGAGAAAATGTTTATTTAAAGTTTTCTCAAGAGCGAGACACATTGCACTGGTTTTTGTACATATAGCTTTAAAGCTGGGAAGGGCTCACGAAATGCTTTTAATCAAGTTGCTATTTCACCACAAGAAATACTTAAAATAAAGGGAGATAAGGGCTAATACTTTCCAAAGCAATAGGCATTCACCAGATCTGCCTTACAGAGGGATCAGGGAGGCAAGCAAAGGTGGGTAACGCTGGTCATCTGGTGGCACAGATGTCCTTGTCATCAGTTTAGACCAATAGCCAAGAGTCCTTGGTGAAGGCATGGGCAAGGGCTCTCCCAGGGGCTCCCTAACTAAGGTTTTTACCTTGAAAGTGGCATTATTTTGGAGACTAAAACCTCAGATATCCATGTTACACAGCCTTACAGTAAACCCAAGTGCCTGGGATTGAGAGAGATGGGAGTTTGCCTGTGTTTTAAATTCAGCTATTTTTAATCATTACCCGGAAAGAGTTATTCTAGAAGAGCTCTCCATGGGGCGTTCCTCCAGAATAGCTTTTTTTGGGGTCCAATTCCGGTGCATAGGTAAGTCCTGGGAAATTCATTCCCATGGGAGAGCTGAGCTCCCGCCTGCGTGGGCGATGCGACTGCCCAGCAGCTGACGCAGCCCCAAGCGCGGAGCACGGGAGGCACCGTCCCTCCCTCCTTGCACCGGGGACCTCTGTCCTGTACTCACAGCCGGGCTCCTTCTCTAACCTCATTTGTGGCATGGAATGCAAACGGAGGAAGAAACACCTACACCCGCGAGGCGACGGCGGGGACTTCTTTACAAGCGCTGGTTCGTGCCGAGTGTTTAACACGTGTGTGAAGCTGCGCTCTTCAGAAAAGGTGTTTGACACCTTGTTGAGGGCATCGGCTGGGAAATGCATGAGTGCCGTGTCGGGGCATCCTCTCCCGGGTGTTTCTGGAGGCAGGGCGCCGGGCTTGACGGACCCTTGGTCTGCGGGTGTGACTGATGGTAGGGCCATCACCTCTGAACCTCTCTAGTTTCTGGTCCCACACACACAGAAAAATGTTTTCCTTTTCCTGAGTGATTAGTACAGGGGTGGCTGGGGAGAATAAAACATCCGCTGAGCAAGAAGTGGCTGTCGCTCCTTGCTTTCCTTTGCTGCTGCATCTGGATTTTGCAGGCAGAAGCAGAACGCGCTGCAGAGAGCCCGGGGGTCTCAGCCCGGTCCGGGGCGAGGGGGAGGCAGCTCGGCTGGCGGCTCCAGCGACAGAGGTTGTCACGCTGGATTTGCCCGACACCGCGCAGGAGGTACAGGAACATGCGATGCAAAGATTACTGCTAGGTAATATTGTCAAGCTTCTTGATAATCATACGGGTGTATAATTTGTTTTGTGTATAATTACCTCTATCAAGGTATCATTGATGCACTTTTGAGTGACAATACAATGGCTCGTTAAATGTATTATGGGACAAGTAAGTCTTTTGAAAAATAGCTTTCTTTTGAAAGCTGACCGAGATTTATATTAATATTTATAAGCACTGGAACATAATTGTTTATTCAACAGTTTTATTTCATTAAAAGAGAAAACTAATATAACTATCACACTGATATATGCTAACCTGATTTGTATAGTTTCATAAAAATGCCGTCTGTGAAAATTAATCACTTCAGAGATAATTGCTGATAATTGCTAAGCTTATTTACCTTGCGTACTCGTGTGACTGGAAAGGAATCTGGCTCTGCGTGCAAGACGTGATTTAAGAGTCTGTAAAATTTACATGAATCGTAATTATAACTTTTTTCTTGGTTGTTTAACTTTCGAATTTGGGAAGCCCTCTCGTCCTCTTCCAGTGTAGGAAAACTACATTAAAAAATATAACACCGTATTATACATTACCATAATCCCTCCGGATCCTGCAGCGCTTTGCACGGACCCTTTGTTTGGCGCATACTTTACATACTAAACGGGTGAATGTTTGATCTTGAAGCAGCACAGGTCAGCCAGATTTCTTGTTCAGCTGGAGACAGGCCTTCAAAAAGCTATTCAATGTCCTAAATTTTATTCACATAAATAAATAAAAGCTCTGCGTCAAGTTGTTACGAGGAAATAATACAGGATATTTATTTGTTGGAACATGTTGTTTCATTGTGTGTCTGCGCCCAGTCCAGAGCAAATCCCAAACAAAACTATTGCCTTTATGACCAAATCCCAGAGAACAACGCTCATCTGCTCTTCTGCCAAGCGGATTTTACTGCGCTGATGAACTGTGCAGATACAGCAGATTTTTAGGTCTCTTGAGTTCCCTGCAAAAGGTGACTCTGAGTATTCCTGAAGAACGCTTAATCCAAAAGACGCATGCCTTTTTCCAGAAGAGTATAACGCACAACGCGGATTTAAATGAGCTGGAGTGAGGGTATGAATGCGATTGCGGCAGGAGTTCGGGCTGTCTTCTGGAACACCTCCCCGGGCGAGGCGGGCGTTGTTGTCAGGCTCTGTACCTTCAGTGGTGGGAAGGGCGCCCGGCGTGCGATGCGTTCGCTCGTTCGTTAAACCACCTTCCCTCCTGTGGCGATGCCGAATCGTGCTCCCACCCATCCTGCGTGTATCGTTTTCCAGGTGGATATCAGCAGGCTGGGTTTAATATCCCTGGAAGTGTTCAAAAAACGGGCAGAGGTGGCACTTTGGGGCATGGTTTAGTGGGCATGGGGGTGTTGGGTTGATGGTTGGGCTGATGATCTTAGAGATCCTTTCCAACCTTAATGATTCCTAGTTTTACTTTCATTAAGAAATAATCCAGCCCCCAAGCCAGGAAACATGAAATTCTTCCTCTCCCCTGAATTGGTTTAGTGGTGGGCTTGGTAGCGTTGGGTTAATGGTTGGACTGGGTGATCTTAAAGGTCTTTTCCAACCTACACGATTCTATGATTCTACGATTTTGGGCTTTGTTTTCCACCATTAAGCACTTCCTAACTAATTCACCTCCGGGCAGCTAAGCGCCTCAGGCGGGGGGAGGCCCTGGCCCAGAGCACCTGCCCGATCACCCCTCTCTTCCCTCCATGTACCCGAAGGAGACAAAGCGGGCAGATACGGGACAAGGGGAGCGGCTC